ATCAACCCATACATTACTTATTTACCGCTTCATAGTTGATCAGCCCAATGTCACACCATTCAGGGGGAGCTTGGTGGACTTAGACTGGCGAGTGGTAGACGGTAGACAAGTATTTGCATTTGTCTAAGGGGACTAATGTCTGGATTTATGGCTAGCGGGTCATCAAGTGGTCTGCAGTATGTGCGCCAGGTTTGGTAATTTGTGTAATGCCCAGGACTTAAGTTCTCTCTCGAATTGCTAAATGAATTTCAGTTTTTTGGCAAGTTTTTATGGCAGATAGTAGTTTATGTACGAACATCTAAGATCACTGGAAGAAAGCCAATAGTGCGTAATACGTTTTCGTGTGTTCTATCCACCCTAGTGGCAACAACGATATATAAATTTAGGAATATGTCCCGTACCTTTCAAAGTTGCGAAAAAGCTGAGTTGTTCTGTCAATTAAAACAATTCCTAAAATTTCACTTGGTAGCGCATTTAATTTTACTTAGATTCTCCATATGCCTGAGTATGAGAAATTCGCAGAGACCTGGAGAGTTGTAACTGTTTACTTATGAATATTACACGTTTATGGAGCTGAGGTCAACATTGTTTTCCCGCTGAAATTTTTGTTTCTTATGGACTGGACGGATTCAGAAGTGTTCCATAGGCTGTGGGGCGCTATTTGGTGCCGAATCCGTTTCAGCTTTTCTGTTCTTGTTCTTATGAATAGAAGTGTTTACATCTCCAAGATTGCATCAATCCTGGCTGATGACAGTAGGTTCAGAAGAGAAAGACATAATAAGGATCAAACCGAGAGCATAGAATCTCAACTCACAACTTGTCTTCGTAAACTGAAAAATCGAGGTTTCCTTACTGAGGAAGATTTAGAAGCGCTCAGACCCCCAGGCACAGTCCCTCCAAGGTTATATGGTTTGCCTAAGATTCACAAACTAGACATTTAAATACAGTCGTTAACTGATATGTGTAATTCATCATATCATGTAGTTGTAAGGTGGCTGGCAGAAAAGCTGAAACTGATTCGGCGCCAAATAGCGCCGCACAGCCTACGGGACAGTTTTGAATTTGTCGAGTCCATAAGAAACACAAATCTCAATGAGAAAAGGATATTTTCCCTAGATGTCGCGTCTCTGTTCAATAACATTCCCCTCACAGAAACCCTAGAAGTTTATGGCCCCGTTTATAGTTGATATTATTTTGCGTTTACTTAAAATTTCACTATTGGGAACAGAGAGAGAGAGAGAGAGAGAGAGAGTGACTTTCGAAGTAGGACGCAAAGCCTGCCGAAGCCATGGGGACTGCGTGATTCTTCGGATGAAAAACACCAGCTGGTAGTCAGCTTGTTTGGCTGATTCAGGCAGCCCCGAGGGCCAACAGCGTTTTTATTGCGGATGGGCCAGCTGTACCAGCCTCGGCTGTTAATAGATGGCATTTAAATTTGACACTGTCAACTGTGTGTGTGGAGACAAAATTAGTTTTCCCAACAACACGCACTTATGGACCGTTTTAAATCGTCGTCGTCGTCGGCGGTGGTGGTGGGGCAGGGTGGAAGGAAGGAACTGGCGGGTAGGAAAGGAAGACAGGGGGAAGGAAATCAGCGGGCATTTGTCGCTTTAATGTAACGGAACAGCTGCTGCCTCTCGCTTCTGCTACCGCCTAGTGGCGTGGCGTTGGGATTCGACAGTTGTCAGGCGATATCATCGGTCCACACACCCCGCTTCGCCATAGCTTCAATGAACAGGCCTATTAAGCGGCAACCTTAAGGCTCTCCAGGCATCGTGTGATCACATCCAAGACGCACACGCACACATACACACCAATGTCCGCCACCACCATCGGCAAAAGAACACGATGTACACACGGACGGACACACACACAGAGAGAGGAGAACAGGCCACCCTCCTGGGGGGGTGATTAAGGCAATAGGCTTGAAATTTGGCACATTGATCGATTGCCCTATAG